TTATAAAACGGATCGAATCAATTTTTCTTATTTGACATGCCCAATTCGAATAGGGATTTCCATAAATAGTTCCTTGGAATATTTCGAGTCTTCAGAGCATCCAAGTGAACGGCTCTCCATTTCTGCATCCCAATGCCACCATCATTGGTCCAAAAAACTGCGGCCATTTTCCATTGTACAGACTTCATTATAAAACGGGTCAAAATTATAAAACGGATCAATCAATATCTTCTTATTTGACATGTTCTTTCTTCTTATCATCTTAGCATCGATGTGTTCGGTAGAGATGAAGTATTCTTCTATTCGCTGTAGCTTTGGCAGAACGAATCTTTTGTGGATAAATCGCCAGATTCTCGGCTAACGGCGCCATTCTTGTCGCATCGTCGGCGATTTCCCCACAACGCTGGGCCAGAGCATGTACAAGTTGGCGAAGTCGGAGTCTCTCGTATCTTATTCTTGCGTGCTCCCCGTCCTTCGATGAAATATTGGAGTTTGGACGTTCCAAGTAACGCCGGGCGTTCCGTATCACATGGACCCCGCAATTCCAGCCGTCGGTTTGGATGTCTTGATGTCCTTGCGGGGCCCAGCGAGTCGACATCAGGCATTCTGGCATCAGGTGGGCCGCCAACGTCTTGATGGCATTGGATACCATCTTTCTTCTTGCTGGCGTCTGACGTGACGAGCCCGAGTCGTATACCCTAGCCATATGCCTGATGCCGTCGATTGTCCCGAGCATCCAATGGTTCTCGAGAAAGATCGGGACGAAAACGATCTCAAAGTCCAGCCGGTCACCAATTAAGGCGCCGGCGACATCCTCCTTTACGACTTCCCTCCGTTCATCAACTCGCTCGTCGTGTCTGGGGCTACAATCGCGATTCTCCTACTGGACTGTGCCGCGACGTCCATAAGGCCGCAAAGAATTGCGCCCGATGAGAGGTAGAGTTCTTGATTCGTACCTCTCAAATGGGGCATGTCGTCGACTGACACCAAAGCCCTAGCAAGAATGCGGAGCGAGGGCGGAAACTGCGAATCTTGGATAGATGTTATCCAATGTGTATCAACTCGGCCTTCTTCTTCCTCTTCTTCTTCATCTTCTTCTTCCTTCTCTTTTTCGTGAAACGCCGAGTTGAACACATCGGTAACGTTCATTTTCTCACAACCGTCATCGCTACTGCCATCCATTTCTTCTTCTTCTTCTTCTTCTTCTTCTTCTTCTTCTTCTTCTTCTTCTTCTTCTGCTTCTTCTCGGAACGCAGCATTGAGCTCGTCTGTCCCGTCTGTACACAGCGAGCTCTTTTCCATTTCTTCTTCAGCCGCTTCTTCCTCTAGGAACGCCGAAAAGAGATCGTCGCTGATATCGATCGCGTCCGTACTCCTATCTTCTTCAGCCATTCGCAACAGGGAGTTATCGCTATCTACAGCGCCGCTTCCATCTTCCAACCTCAATTTGCTGCCTTCTTCCAACACCATTGTATCACCTTCAACAGAACTCAACGTCGACGAATCCTGAGACGACAGGAGTGACAACAAATCAGTTGTAAGCTCTGTTGACGCAGCACAAGCAGATGCAGCAATTTCAACATTTTGAATGGAGACCATTCCACATTCCTGATTTCTCTGAAAAGTTTAAATGCTTAAAACGACCCATTCGAAGACTTTTCGTACTCATATCAAAAAACCATTCCGACTTGTTCTGAAGACAATTCCGACACATCCGAAAAATTAATCTAATCATTCTGAAGACTATTCCGACTCATTCCGAAGACTATTCCGCATGTTCTGAAGGCAATTCCGACACATCCGAAAAATTAATCTAATCATTCTGAAGACTATTCCGACTCATTCCGAAGACTATTCCGCATGTTCTGAAGGCAATTCCGACACATCCGAAAAATTAATCTAATGATTCCGAAGACTATTCCAACTCATTCCAAAGACTATTCCAACTCATTCCAAAGACTATTCCAACTCATTCCAAAGACTATTCCGACTCATTCCGAAGACTATTCCGACCTATTTCGAAGACTATTCCGACCCATTTCGAAGACTATTCCGACTCATTCCGAAGACTATTCCGACTCATTCCGAAGACTATTCCGCATGTTCTGAAGGCAATTCCGACACATCCGAAAAATTAATCTAATGATTCCGAATACTATTCCAACTCATTCCAAAGACTATTCCGACTCATTCCGAAGACTATTCCGACCTATTTCGAAGACTATTCCGACCCATTTCGAAGACTATTCCGACTCATTCCGAAGACTATTCCGACTCATTCCGAAGACTATTCCGCATGTTCTGAAGGCAATTCCGACTCATTCCGAAGACTATTCCGACTCATTCCGAAGACTATTCCGACTCATTCCGAAGACTATTCCGACTCATTCCGAAGACTATTCCGACTCATTCCGAAGACTATTCCGACTCATTCCGAAGACTATTCCGACCCATTTCGAAGACTATTCCAACTCATTCCGAAGACTATTCACCATGTTCTCAAAAGTATTTCCGACTCCTCTCATCAAAATGAACCATAACATTCCAAAAGATTTGCGGTCATTTTAAAAATTTCAAGGCTTTCATTATTTTTGTTATTTCTGCCTAAATTAAGAAATAACTTATCTTTCATATGAAATCACTAAATAGTCTAGTAGTACAAATGTCGTAGAAATACTTTGCCGATTTTGACTTTTGTATATTTTTCAATCATCCCACAAAAGTTTCTTTTTTAATTTTCAAACTCCAACCCTGTTTTTCCCATTAAAAAAAATTAACTCATTGATATTCCACCCCCCTTAAAAAATTTTCCCACATTGATATTTTCACTATTTTATATTTAATTTTTCTAAAAATTCTTCCTGCAGTCTTTTTTCATATGAAAATATATCGGTTTCGAAAATATACTTTCATTCGGAATCGAAATTGAGTATAATGTAATGTTTAATTGCAAGAATTTTATCGAAAACGATTTTAAAATTGAAAATTCAATCAAAATTTTTCAAATCGAAATTTAAATTCTTTCTTTATTTAATTTCCATTATTTTTAATCGACTCAAGTTAATTTATACCTCAATATTCTTTCAATCTGATTATTCATTAAGCTTCCCCATTCCATATAGCTTCGATTGTTTGATTTATCATTTTTTTTTACCACCAATACCTTTTTTACCTAATCATGTTTGTTATATTAGATTCTCAATAGAATTAAAATGTTAAAATATGATTTTTTTTTCAATTCAGATCTTTTTTATTTGATGGAATGGGCGAAATTTAAAAGTAAAAATCGTTTTTTTTTACAAAATTTGTATTATATGTGAAATTATTTTTTATTTTTCTTAAATTTTTGAATTATGAAACATGTTGATTTTTAGTATTGTCTAAAAACAAAATAAGAAATCCCATCTCATTCCATCATACCACAATACATCGTGTAATACCAATAAAGTAAAAAAAAGGGTCCGCGCACCTCCGTATTTCCATTCTGATGTCCTTCCCCATCGAGTTGTATTTGATCTCTTTCGATTTCAGCTCCTGACACTATCGGAAGATTCACACTCTCCTGTCGAAGAACTAAAAACTATCCTTATATATTAATCAAAAAAATAAAATTACCTTCAATGGTAAGTCGCCGGCACTTCAGAGGGCTCGCTCCAGAGCGGCCTCTTCTTGAGAAATGGTTTCGTGGCCATTTTCCACCTCCATTGGATCGAAGCTGGTCGTCCATGGGCTCTTCTACAAAACGATGTCGTGGTGCTTCAGTTGCCTCATTAGAAATAGGACACGGAATCTTCTTTCTTTCCAACGACTCTATACGTCTTGCTGCATTGGACGCAGCGATTCTCTTCGATCGTCGCAATGAGACGCACTGCTGAAGGCTCGCTCCAGACGGTTCTCTTCTTGAAACACGACTTTGCGGCCATTTTCCTCCTCCATTTGATCGATGCTGATCATCCATGGAATTGTCAAGAACACGAAGTTGTGCCACATCACTCGCCGGCTTAGAAACCTTCTTTCTTTCAATCAACTTTCCATCTTTTCTTCCTGTGTCGAACAACGAAGCAGCGACGTCAATTCTTTTCGATCTTTTCAAGGGTGCGCACAGCTGAGGGCTCGCAAGAGAGCGGCTTCTTTTCGAGAAGCATTTTGATATATCTGAAAGTAAGAATATAGCTCATTAAACTTCTAAACATTACGTACGTGCTCAATTTCTTCGCTCTTTTTCGGCTCAGAACCAAGTGCGGGCAAAATGCCGTTTCCTTGATTATTTTGAAATTTTGATGGCCGTCTATATCAGTCTGAAATGAAAATTATAGACACATCTCGAATTGACTTGTAATCTTACATTTTAAGCGGTCATCCATCCTTCTCTATTGAGAATATTTGAAAAAAATACATAAAAAATATACAATAATCCTAATTATGTCTAAGCTTGAAAATAAGTTTCAAAAAGAGTTTGCACAAAAATTACAAGGATACAATTTCGTTCAAATACGTCACAAAAACTAAGTATGTCTTGGCAATGTGCAAGGAGTACTTTTTACAATCAAATCTTCGAATTCAGGGGGCACAACTAAACACAATTAAAAATGGTTCAAATCAATATTTTTGTTAGCTTTCTTCTTTTTTTTGTATTTTTTTAAAGTCGGACAGGACGTATACGTAAGGGAGAGGAGAAAAAAGAAGGGGGGGGGAATGGGGATAAAAATTGCTGGAAACAATATATACGGGTGAATTATATGCGTAAACAGTAAAACTGGCATTCTCATACTACGATTCATTTAATCTAACAGCATATATTGTAAAAAATGAAAAACAATTCAAAATTTCATTACATATTGATATATTTATTAAGAGAATTTGTTACTTTTTCTTTACTTTTTTTATATTTTATTTTTTTATTATTTTTTTGTTTATTATTATTTTTTCTGTTTTTTTTTGGTAATTTTTTTTGTTTTTTATTTTTTTTTTCGTTTTTTTTCTTTTATTTTTTTTTATTATTTATTTTTTTAAAAAGGGAGTCCGATGAGGTGGCAAAAATGATGAAGAGCTCATCCTATAATAGAATGAATAACTAAGCAATTTTTAAACAAAAGCGTACCTTAATAGCAGTCTCCCGCAAATTTTTTCGGAATTTCATGTTGATTTCCTTTTCGATCGGCACATTCGTTGATAATCTTAAAATAAATAATTTAAAATGACAAATTAATTCATTATCAACTTACAAAACAAAAATTCAAATTATTCCCTTCGTTTCAATGATCTACGGATCCAAAATCCTATTTCCTCTGAGAACAATCACAATTGTTTTGTGCCATACAAATTCTTCATTACTGAATATCATAACGTTTGTAAAAATTGGCTAAAGACTACGAAATTCAACTAACCTCTTCAATAATTTCGCTGGTCCATTATTTTGTTTTTAAACTTCAAAAATTTGTTGCGATCTCGCAAGTAGTTTAAAACGCATTCATCATTTTAGTCGGCCATCCTATGCCACCCAAATTCACTCAAAAACATCACTGTGATGGCAATCATTAACCACATAATATCTATTAGCATAAAATTAAAATTAAAATTTTCCAAAAAGTGAGATTTACCCGACGATTTGCGAATTCCGCGAGCGTCCAAGTGATCGGAGCAGCAATATCCCAATGCCATTTTTTTTCGATCTTTCATGATCTATCATGCTGTTGGTTTCAAAATTTGACTTTTCAGCTATCTTTAAATCTTAAAAAAGTTAAATTTGAATGGAAAACACTTAAAAGCCTTACTAATTTTCAGCATCTGCAGCATCAAAATATCTGAGTTGCTTCATCTGCCTTTTAGTCGTTTTCAAGCTTTTCTTCTTACAATTTCTTCATTTCCAAAATAGTCGTTTTTGGTGAAAATCTGTATTGTTGGAATCGAAAACTCTCTGAAATGTACAATTTGTTGAAAATAAAAATTGATATTTCTTACCAATCCACCCAAAACCCTTTGTAATCAGTTTCAAACGTTTACCGATCCAGTCGTTACTGGTTTCATTTTAGTTGCTTCTTCTATAGCTTGATTGTTCACCCAATTGCTCATTTCAATCACGCACTGTTAGGGCACCTTGCAACCGTGAAAGGAATACGTAAGAAATGGCACTCCATTAGAGCCATGTTCTTTCTTCAATTTGATAAAGACGTCTGCGTAATTCAACTATACGCCGTTTTTATTCTTTAAGTAGTTTTCATAGCTTCAAAAATGGAATTTGAATGGAAACCGTTTAAAAAGACTTACGAATTTTGTGCTCCAGCAGTCTTCAATTTTTCATTGTTGACTTCTTTGAAATTGCATCTCTTTGCAAACGGAAAGGTTGTTTGAATCGTGCTTTTTTTTAACTTTAAGACAGTATTGTCGAAACGAAAACCCTCTGAAAAGCACAATTTGATGATAATTACAAACTAAAATGTTCTTACCAATCCACCCAAACCCTTTTCAATTTCATTTCCATTGATTCACCGATCCGTTCGTTGACGGTTTCTTTCTTGCTGTTTCTTCTATAGCTTGATCACACCCAATTGATCAAATTCGAAGAATCAGGAATGAATTAACATCCCACTGAAGCCAAGTTCTTTCTTCAATTTGTTGAAGACATATTCATAATGCAAGAGGACCTCTTTTTATGCTCTCGTTAGATTTCATAGCTAAAAAATGGAACTTAAATGGGAACCGCTTAAAAGTCTTACTATTATTTGCCTTCAGCAACGTCAAAATGTCTGTTTGCTTCTATGCCTCACATTCGTCTTCTTTTCTTTCAATTCTTCATCTCCAAATCGACTATTTTCGAAAAGTCACATTAAGACAAATTTTGGAATCGAAAACCCTCTGAAATTTACAATTTCTTGTTAATAAAAATTGATATGTTCTTACCAATCCAACCCTTCTCTAATTCATTTTCATGGATTGACCAATTCAGTCGATGGCTCCATTTCTAGTTGTATCTTTTATAGTTTGGTCGTTGAACCAATTGCTCATTTCGATTACCCACTTTGAGAGCAAATTCCAATCATTCAGGAACCACGAATGAAATAACATTCTGCTGAAGTCAAGTCCATTCTTCAGTAAAATCGGATTTCTCCTATTATGTCATCATTAGTTGCGTCTCTTTAGAACACGAAAGTCTTCTGATCTTTGAGCTCCAGGTGCATCAAATTGTCGGAGTTTCTAATTCGGCGTATCTGGTGCTTTGGCATAGTTCAACTCATCGAAGCTTCCAAGTCAACGGCGTATCAACTTCTGCGGCTCATTATAAAACCGTCTTCATTATAAAACAAATCGAATTCTTTATTTGACATGATCTTCTTGCGCACTGTCGCCAATAGATTAATATTATTTGACATAACTGAAAAGATAATATATTAATCATGTAATGATTATTCAAGATTCTTACGATAAAATTATAAAACTTTCTTCACATCATCTCAACATCGGTGTGTTCTATATAGATGATGTATTCGTCTGTTCGCGGTAGCCTTCGCAGAACGAATGTTTTGCGGATAAACCGCCAGATTCTCCGCTAACGGCGCATTCCTTGTCGCATCGTCGGCGATATCCTCACAACGCTTGGCCAGAGCAGGCACTAGTTGACGAAGCCGGAGTCTCTCGTCCCTGATTCTTGCGTACTCCCCATTCTTCGATGAAAGGTTGGAGTTTGGACGCTCCAAGTAACGTCGGGCGTTTCGTATCACATGGACCCCGCAATTCCAGCCGTCGGTTTGAATGTCTTGATGTCCTTGCGGGGCCCAGCGAGTCGACATCAGGCGATCTGGCATCAGGTGGGCCGCCAACGTCTTGATGGCATTGGATACCATCTTTCTTCTTGCTGGCGTCTGACGTGACGAGCCCGAGTCGTATACCCTAGCCATATGCCTGATGCCGTCGATTGTCCCGAGCATCCAATGGTTTTCGACAAAGATCGGGACAAGAACGATCTCAAAGTCCAGCCGGTCACCAATTAAGGCGCCGGCGACATCCTCCTTTCTGACTTCCCCTCCGTTCAACAGTTCGCTCGTCATGTCTGGAGCAACGATGGCAATTCGTTTCGAGGAATGTGCCGCGACGTCCATAAGGCCGCAAAGAATCGCGCCCGATGAGAGGTAGAGTTCTTGATTCGTACCTCTCAAACGGGGCATGTCGTCGACGGACACCAAAGCCCTTGCGAGAATGCGAAGCGACGGCGAAAACTGCGAATAGTCGATAGATGTTATCCAATGTGTATCAACTTGGCCTTCTTCTTCCTGTTCTTCTTCCTGTTCTTCTTCCTCCTCTCCTTCATGAAAAGCCAAATTGAACACATCGGTAACGTTCATTTTTTCTGATCCGTAGTCGCTACTAGCTTCCATTTCCATTTCTTCTTCTTCAGACTCTTCTCGGAACGCAGAATTGAGCTCGTCTGTCCCGTCTGTACACAGCGAGCTCTTTTCATGTTCTTCTTCAGCCGCTTCTTCTTCTGGGAATGCCAAAAAGTGATCGTCGCTGATATCGATCGCGTCCGTACTCCGATCTTCTTCAGACATTCGCAACAGAGAGTTATCACAATCCACAGCGCTGCTTCCGTCTTCCAACCTCAGTGTGCTGCCTTCTTCCAACACCATTGTATCGCCTTCAACAGAATTAAATGTCGACGAATCCTGAGACGACAGGAGTGACAACAGATCAGTTGTTATCTCTGTTGACGCAGCACAACCAGATGCAGCAAGTTCAACTTTTTGAATGGAGACCATTCCACATTCCTGATTTCTCTGAAAAGTTTAAATGCTTAAAACGACCCATTCGAAGACTTTTCGTACTCATATCAAAAAACCATTCCGACTTGTTCTGGAGACAATTCCGACACATCCGAAAAATTAATCTAATCATTCTGAAGACTATTCCGACTCATTCCGAAGACTATTCCGCATGTTCTGAAGACAATTCCGACACCTCCGAAAAGTTAATCTTATGATTCCGAAGACTATTCCGGCTCATTCCGAAGACTATTCCGCATGTTCTGAAGACAATTCCGACATCTCCGAAAAATTAATCTAATGATTCCGAAGACTATTCCGACCCATTTCGAAGACTATTCCGACTCATTCCGAAGACTATTCCGCATGTTCTGAAGACAATTCCAACACCTCCGAAAAATTAATCTTATGATTCCGAAGACTATTCCGACTCATTCCGAAGACTATTCCGACCCATTTCGAAGACTATTCTGACTCATTCCGAAGACTATTCCGCATGTTCTGAAGACAATTCCAACACCTCCGAAATATTAATCTTATGATTCCGAAGACTATTCCGACTCATTCCGAAGACTATTCCGACCCATTTCGAAGACTATTCCGACTCATTCCGAAGACTATTCACCATGTTCTCAAAAGTATTTCCGACTCCTCTCATCAAAATGAACCATAACATTCCAAAAGAATTGCGGTCATTTTAAAAATTTCAAGGCTTTCATTATTTTTGTTATTTCTGCCTAAATTTAGAAATAACTTATCTTTCATATGAGATCACTAAATAGTCTAGTAGTACACATGTCGTAGAAATACTTTGCCGATTTTGACTTTTGTATATTTTTCAATCATCCAACAAACGTTTCTTTTTTAATTTTCAAACTCCAAGCCTGTTTTTCCCATTTAAAAAAATTAACTCATTGATATTCCACCCCCCTTAAAAAATTTTCCCGCATTGATATTTTCATTATTTTCTATTTAATCTTTCTAAAAATTCTTCCTGCAGTCTTTTTCATATGAAAATATATCGGTTTCGAAAATATACTTCCATTCATAATCGAAATTGAGAATAATCTAATGTTTATTTGCGAGAATTTTATCGAAAACGATTTTAAAATTGAAAATTCAATCAAAATTTTTCAAATCAAAATTTAAATGCTTTCTTTATTTAATTTCATTATTTTTAATCGACTCAAGTTAATTTATACTTCAATATTCTTTCAATCTTATTATTCATTAAGCTTCCCCATTCCATATAGCTTCGATTGTTTGATTTATCATTTTTTTGCCACCAATACCTTTTTTTTACCTAATCTTGTTTGTTATATTTGATTCTCAATAGAATAAAAATGTTGAAATGTGATTTTTTCAATTCAGATTTTTTTAGTTGATGGAATGGGTGAAATTTTAAAGAACGGTTATTTTTTATTGAGAAATTGTATGTTAAATTTATTTGTTTACTTCAATTTTTGATCAAAATTGTTGAGTTGACAATTAAAAAATGTTGATTTTTATCAATTTGCAGAATTGTCTGAAAATAAAATAAGAAATACTTATTCATCCCATTCCATCATACCACAATACATCGTGTAATACCAATAAAGTAAAAAAAGGGTCCGCGCACCTCTGTAATTCCATTCTGATGTCCTTCGCCATTGAGTTGTCCTTGATCTCTTTCGATTTCAGCTCCTGACGCTATCGGAAGATTCACACTCTCCTGTCGAAGAACTAAAAACTATCCTTATATATTAATCAAAAAAATAAAATTACCTTCAATGGTAAGTCGCCGGCACTTCAGAGGGCTCGCTCCAGAGCGGCCTCTTCTTGAGAAATGGTTTCGTGGCCATTTTCCACCTCCATTGGATCGAAGCTGGTCGTCCATGGGCTCTTCTACAAAACGATGTCGTGGTGCTTCAGTTGCCTCATTAGAAATAGGACACGGAATCTTCTTTCTTTCCAACGACTCTATACGTCTTGCTGCATTGGACGCAGCGATTTTCTTCGATCGTCGCAATGAGACGCACTGCTGAAGGCTCGCTCCAGACGGTTCTCTTCTTGAAACACGACTTTGCGGCCATTTTCCTTCTCCATTTGATCGATGCTGATCATCCATGGAATTGTCAAGAACACGAAGTTGTGCCACATCACTCGCCGGCTTAGAAACCTTCTTTCTTTCAATCAACTTGCCATCTTTTCTTCCTGTGTCGAACAATGAAGCAGCGGCGTCAATTCTTTTCGATCTTCTCAAGGAGGCGCACAGCTGAGGGCTCGCAAGAGAGCGGCTTCTTCTCGAGAAATGTCTTCGTTGCCATTTTCCACCTCCATTGGATCGATTGTGATCATCCACGGGTTGTTCGGGAATGCGAAGTTGTGGTGTTTGAATTGCCACATCACGCGCCGGCTTCGAAACCTTCTTTCTTCCAATCACGAACTTGCCATCATTTCTTCCTGCGTTGGACAACGAAGCAGCGGCGGCAATCCTTTTCGATCTTCTCAACGGCATCGAATCCTTGCGAATCGAATTCGAGGATGTCATCTTAGACAGCTTTTGCACACGAGTGGATCTTCTCATTTCATAAGCCATATTATAGCAAGTTATCACGCGCAGAGGTGACTGCACTGAACACTAATTACCTGAAAAAAAAACCAATTAATGCTTTAATAAAAGAATCTGTGGGGAAGAAATTTAATAAAATCTAAGAAATGATGGATTCAAATACGAAAAAATATCCCATATGAATTCAAAAACATTATTTTTGTAAATTGATTTTAATAGGCGAAATGCAGAATTTGCGGGAAAATTCAACAAAACGGACAAACTGGTAAGCTGCTAGGTTGAGTGCTTCAATTTTTTTATAACAACAAAAAAATCAATAAAAATAACAGAAAAGGTTAAATAATGCTTTCAATGATCATCTTTTTCACTCTGCGTCTACGCGCGTTTTGTGCGAGGAGAGGTACTCGCTCTGCTGTCGCCTCGTTCATTTTTGAGTGCAGAACTTTGCAAAAATATTATCGTTTCATTATTCTGATTGAAAATGGAATATGCAGCAATTAAAAAACTTGAATTATTATCGACCTCGGGTTTGTAATAAATTAAACTAAACAAATTTTATTTTTATGTTTTAAGGGCAACGTTTTCAATTGCAATTTTGATATTACAATTTTTTTTGAGTTTTGAAGCAAAATTTCTCAAATTGATATTTTGACGTAAATTTCCTGAAAGACACACTGATGATAAGCATTACTGGGAAGTTCTCGTCGCATTCCCATTTCATCACATTTCAAGCAAATTGGTTGATTCCACGTTGTAAAGCATCAAATTCTGACCATTCACTTTTTTTGGATCATCGAATTTGATTCAGAAACAAAAAAGTTAGAGCTCTAACATAGCTCATCACCACTCTGAAAATTCTTGAAAATTTCTACAAACTGGCAGGCCTTATACGATTTCGATGCCTCCATTACAATACTGAGATCCTCGGAAATCCGAGGTCGGAATGGGTGGTCCCCCTTCCCATGCCTTAACGACCGGACCTGGTCGGTCACGGCTGAATTTCCGCGCTGGTCCCCGACCTCGTCTATCTAACCATGTCATTAGAGAATGGTCAGCTTCCAGACCACGTGCCTGTGCCGGCAATCTATCGAGATTACCGTGTCTTATCACGACTGCGTGGCGGTTGATCAGGCCACCTCGCTGCCACGTCGGGTTCCGCCGTGACCCGGAACCTTGCACCTGCTATCAGCCAGAGTCTGGGGCAGTTGGGGCTAGTAATACCCAACTGTACCGTCCCCGACTTATGGTGGTCTCAGCTCCACCCAGAGTTTCAAGATTAACATCCAATTGTCGTTCGTCAGTTTTTCACCCCCCGTCTGAACGATGAGAGTCAGCCCCTTCTTATGCGGTTCGTCAACGACCTCGTCGTTCCCTTTCAAGTTCAATCGAATCAATAACACATTGCTATTAATAACCTTTATCTAACAAAAAACATAACCAAATTTAACAATAGGGACCACATCCCTCTTCCATTGCCGCCTCAGGCCTTCTTGCAGAAAACCTGCAAGTGGGCTTCCGAGCCACACCTTGGGCACTTCAACCTCTGGTGGCGGCACTTAACTCGAGCTGGGTGCCTGGCACATTTCAGATACAGCTCCGCCTCGATGGCCTTGAGCAGCCGGTCCGTCGCCGTCGGGAATCTCTGGCACAGTTCCTCCTTGTGTTCTTCGGAGCACAGGGTGCAGGTGATAACCTTCTCCGGCTTTCCGGCGCCGCCGATCGTCACCTTCGGTTCCGAAGCCGCACTCGCGAGTACCGCCGCCAGTTGCTTGTTAAGGGTAACATGCTTTTCGCGTAGCTGTTGAAGCATCAACAGCACGTCCTGATGAGCCTGCTTCTCCCTTCCCAAGGCGCGCCGCATCTCCGCCACCTCCATTGCCAGCTCCACCGTCTTGGTCCGAATGTGGCTGGTGTCCGTCGCCACCCGTCCGACGTCGTTCTGGAGCGTCTTGCTACACATTGTTGATAAGCATTACTGGGAAGTTCTCGTCGCATCTCCCATTTCATCACATTTCAAGCAAATTGGTTGATTCCACGTTGTAAAGCATCAAATTCTGACCATTCACTTTTTTTGGATCATCGAATTTGATTCAGAAACAAAAAAGTTAGAGCTCTAACATAGCTCATCACCACTCTGAAAATGCTCGAATTCTTATATGCGATTTCAGCCTTGGCGAAATGTGCCGGTGTGGTGTAGTGGTTAAAATGTGCGATCATTGATCGTGGATTGTGGACATCTACACCGGCACGTCCCAATGATGGATGAGTCCTCGGGCCAAGAGGTGGTAACGTGGCACACCAACATGTACATATGAAGATGAATAGAAAATATATCCAAAGGGGGATGACTGAGGGACCTTTTGCCTTTTTGGTCCTTACTTTCTGTACGCTTGGGGTCGCGGGTTCGAGTCCCCTTTGCGCAAAATTTTTTTGCGACTGTGAAAACTTAGGAAATGATTGTTAATTGTGTCAGGAAGGCCCACAGCAAAATTTTAGGCCGAAAGTGTTATAGGGGGGTCCTATCGGGGTCCGAATTCGAAATTGTTGATAATTTCAGAAAATGACCCTAGTGGTCTGGTATTTTAGGAAGTGTTACTAAAACTTGTCAAAAGTGTTATAGGGGGGTCCTACGAGGGTCCGAATTCATGAGTTTTTGAATTTTGAAGCAAAATTTCTCGAATTGATATTTTGACGTAAATTTCCTGAAAGACACATTGATGATAAGCATTACTGGGAAGTTCTCGTCACATCTCCCTTTTTTTTCAAGCAAATTGGTTTATTCCACTTTGTAAAGCATCAAATTCTGACCATTCACTTTTTTTGGATCATCGAATTTGATTCAGAAACAAAAAAGTTAGAGCTTTAACATAGCTCATCACCACTCTGAAAATTCTTGAATTCTTATACGCGATTTCAGCCTTGGCGAAATGTGCCGTTGTGGTGTAGCGGTTAAAATGTGCGATCATTGATCGTGGATTGTGGACATCTAGTTCTAAAATTTCAATTCAGCTATTAAAACGATTTCTGAAAATTTTTAGTTGAAATATTATCTGAAAAAACACTTTTATTACGTTTTAGTAACACTTCCTTAAATACCAGACCACTAGAGTCATTTTCTGAAATTTTCAAAATTTTCGAATTCGGACCCTCGTAGGACCCCCCTATAACACTTTTGAAAAAGGGAGATGTGACGAGAACTTCCCAGTAATGCTTATCATCAATGTGTCTTTCAGGAAATTTACGTCAAAATATCAATTCGAGAAATTTTGCTTCAAAATTCAAAAACTCATGAATTCGGACCCTCGTAGGACCCCCTATAACACTTTTGACAAGTTTTAGTAACACTTCCTAAAATACCAGACCACTAGGGTCATTTTCTGAAATTATCAACAATTTCGAATTCGGACCCCGATAGGACCCCCCTATAACACTTTCGGCCTAAAATTTTGCTGTGGGCCTTCCTGACACAATTAACAATCATTTCCTAAGTTTTCACAGTCGCAAAAAAATTTTGCGCAAAGGGGACTCGAACCCGCGACCCCAAGCGTACAGAAAGTAAGGACCAAAAAGGCAAAAGGTCCCTCAGTCATCCCCCTTTGGATATATTTTCTATTCATCTTCATATGTACATGTTGGTGTGCCACGTTACCACCTCTTGGCCCGAGGACTCATCCATCATTGGGACGTGCCGGTGTAGATGTCCACAATCCACGATCAATGATCGCACATTTTAACCACTACACCACACCGGCACATTTCGCCAAGGCTGAAATCGCATATAAGAATTCGAGCATTTTCAGAGTGGTGATGAGCTATGTTAGAGCTCTAACTTTTTTGTTTCTGAATCAAATTCGATGATCCAAAAAAAGTGAATGGTCAGAATTTGATGCTTTACAACGTGGAATCAACCAATTTGCTTGAAATGTGATGAAATGGGAATGCGACGAGAACTTCCCAGTAATGCTTATCATCAGTGTGTCTTTCAGGAAATTTACGTCAAAATATCAATTTGAGAAATTTTGCTTCAAAACTCAAAAAAAATTGTAATATCAAAATTGCAATTGAAAACGTTGCCCTTAAAACATAAAAATAAAATTTGTTTAGTTTAATTTATTACAAACCCGAGGTCGATAATAATTCAAGTTTTTTAATTGCTGCATATTCCATTTTCAATCAGAATAATGAAACGATAATATTTTTGCAAAGTTCTGCACTCAAAAATGAACGAGGCGACAGCAGAGCGAGTACCTCTCCTCGCACAAAACGCGCGTAGACGCAGAGTGAAAAAGATGATCATTGAAAGCATTATTTAACCTTTTCTGTTATTTTTATTGATTTTTTTGTTGTTATAAAAAAATTGAAGCACTCAACCTAGCAGCTTACCAGTTTGTCCGTTTTGTTGAATTTTCCCGCAAATTCTGCATTTCGCCTATTAAAATCAATTTACAAAAATAATGTTTTTGAATTCATATGGGATATTTTTTTCGTATTTGAATCCATCATTTCTTAGATTTTATTAAATTTCTTCCCCACAGATTCTTTTATTAAAGCATTAATTGGTTTTTTTTTCAGGTAATTAGTGTTCAGTGCAGTCACCTCTGCGCGTGATAACTTGCTATAATATGGCTTATGAAATGAGAAGATCCACTCGTGTGCAAAAGCTGTCTAAGATGACATCCTCGAATTCGATTCGCAAGGATTCGATGCCGTTGAGAAGATCGAAAAGGATTGCCGCCGCTGCTTCGTTGTCCAACGCAGGAAGAAATGATGGCAAGTTCGTGATTGGAAGAAAGAAGGTTTCGAAGCCGGCGCGTGATGTGGCAATTCAAACACCACAACTTCGCATTCCCGAACAACCCGTGGATGATCACAATCGATCCAATGGAGGTGGAAAATGGCAACGAAGACATTTCTCGAGAAGAAGCCGCTCTCTTGCGAGCCCTCAGCTGTGCGCCTCCTTGAGAAGATCGAAAAGAATTGACGCCGCTGCTTCATTGTTCGACACAGGAAGAAAAGATGGCAAGTTGATTGAAAGAAAGAAGGTTTCTAAGCCGGCGAGTGATGTGGCACAACTTCGTGTTCTTGACAATTCCATGGATGATCAGCATCGATCAAATGGAGAAGGAAAATGGCCGCAAAGTCGTGTTTCAAGAAGAGAACCGTCTGGAGCGAGCCTTCAGCAGTGCGTCTCATTGCGACGATCGAAGAAAATCGCTGCGTCCAATGCAGCAAGACGTATAGAGTCGTTGGAAAGAAAGAAGATTCCGTGTCCTATTTCTAATGAGGCAACTGAAGCACCACGACATCGTTTTGTAGAAGAGCCCATGGACGACCAGCTTCGATCCAATGGAGGTGGAAAATGGCCACGAAACCATTTCTCAAGAAGAGGCCGCTCTGGAGCGAGCCCTCTGAAGTGCCGGCGACTTACCATTGAAGGTAATTTTATTTTTTTGATTAATATATAAGGATAGTTTTTAGTTCTTCGACAGGAGAGTGTGAATCTTCCGATAGCGTCAGGAGCTGAAATCGAAAGAGATCAAGGACAACTCAATGGCGAAGGACATCAGAATGGAATTACAGAGGTGCGCGGACCCTTTTTTTACTTTATTGGTATTACACGATGTATTGTGGTATGATGGAATGGGATGAATAAGTATTTCTTATTTTATTTTCAGACAATTCTGCAAATTGATAAAAATCAACATTTTTTAATTGTCAACTCAACAATTTTGATCAAAAATTGAAGTAAACAAATAAATTTAACATACAATTTCTCAATAAAAAATAACCGTTCTTTAAAATTTCACCCATTCCATCAACTAAAAAAATCTGAATTGAAAAAATCACATTTCAACATTTTTATTCTATTGAGAATCAAATATAACAAACAAGATTAGGTAAAAAAAAGGTATTGGTGGCAAAAAAATGATAAATCAAACAATCGAAGCTATATGGAATGGGGAAGCTTAATGAATAATAAGATTGAAAGAATATTGAAGTATAAATTAACTTGAGTCGATTAAAAATAATGAAATTAAATAAAGAAAGCATTTAAATTTTGATTTGAAAAATTTTGATTGAATTTTCAATTTTAAAATCGTTTTCGATAAAATTCTCGCAAATAAACATTAGATTATTCTCAATTTCGATTATGAATGGAAGTATATTTTCGAAACCGATATATTTTCATATGAAAAAAGACTGCAGGAAGAATTTTTAGAAAGATTAAATAGAAAATAATGAAAATATCAATGCGGGAAAATTTTTTAAGGGGGGTGGAATATCAATGAGTTAATTTTTTTAAATGGGAAAAACAGGCTTGGAGTTTGAAAATTAAAAAAGAAACGTTTGTTGGATGATTGAAAAATATACAAAAGTCAAAATCGGCAAAGTATTTCTACGACATGTGTACTACTAGACTATTTAGTGATCTCATATGAAAGATAAGTTATTTCTAAATTTAGGCAGAAATAACAAAAATAATGAAAGCCTTGAAATTTTTAAAATGACCGCAATTCTTTTGGAATGTTATGGTTCATTTTGATGAGAGGAGTCGGAAATACTTTTGAGAACATGGTGAATAGTCTTCGGAATGAGTCGGAATAGTCTTCGAAATGGGTCGGAATAGTCTTCGGAATGAGTCGGAATAGTCTTCGGAATCATAAGATTAATATTTCGGAGGTGTTGGAATTGTCTTCAGAACATGCGGAATAGTCTTCGGAATGAGTCAGAATAGTCTTCGAAATGGGTCGGAATAGTCTTCGGAATGAGTCGGAATAGTCTTCGGAATCATAAGATTAATTTTTCGGAGGTGTTGGAATTGTCTTCAGAACATGCGGAATAGTCTTCGGAATGAGTCGGAATAGTCTTCGAAATGGGTCGGAATAGTCATCGGAATCATTAGATTAATTTTTCGGAGATGTCGGAATTGTCTTCAGAACATGCGGAATAGTCTTCGGA